TATTCCTTAATCACGTGACTTGCTACATTACCGATCAAATTTATGTTTTTTTTTTTTCATTAGTCTAAGAACTTAAACACTAAAAATAATGACCATTAATCAACCCATACTAAATTTTAAATTAAAACTAATAGAACAAAAGATAAAAGAATAACATGCAATAACTCAATCAAGGTTTTCACAAATCATTGGATATAGTTTTTCAATTGAATGACAAAATGTTTGAGTTATATTCATTAAAAATATATGGTTTTTTACTTTTCCTATAAACTTCAATGATTTTTTTGCAAAAAAAAAAGATACATATATGATCTTTTTCATTCCATAATTTAACCTCAATTCAATGGTATTATATTACTACAAAATTAAGAGAAAATGAAATTGGATTTGTTTTGTTTAAAACTAAGTCGTTTAAAAAGGTTCTATACCTAAGTTTAGGTACATAACAGCCACATATTAATTTTTCCCATATATATATATATATATATATATATATATATATATATATATATATATAATATATAGATATATATATATATATATGTGTGTGGTGTGTGTGTGGTGTGTGTGTGAGAGAGAGAGATGATTGTCGACGGTGAGTAGAATGTACGTTTTAATGTTCATAATTTTATATAATTTCAGGCCCGGTTAAAGAGGAGGGCAAGCTGGGCCACTGCCCAGGGCCCATATCAACTTGAGGGCCCCAAATTTATATAAGGTATTTTATAATATTAAATTCTGCCTGCTTATATGTGAAATTGACTCTAGCTGACTTGGTAAGATCATCTTTTCATTTGATTAGGCACGCGTATTCGATTCCTTGGAGTAGCAGCCTTTTTATTTTTACCACTACTTAATCCTTTTTTTTAATATGTTCGGTTATCCTTTTTCTCAATTGCTTCTGTTTTTTTTCCTATTTTTTACTTTGATTTCATTTATAATTTATATTAAAGTTATATCCAATAAACAACAAAAAAAAATAATAACACATAGTAGGCTAGATGGTTTATATGTTTGATTTTATTTGAATGTTACGTAATAGTATTGATTTTGACATTTTTCTAATTATTTTCTTTAAAATTCATTTGAAGTTATTTACATATAATTTTGTATATTAACAATCTTTTGTAATAAATCACTAATATTTTTTATTTATGATCATTAGTTTGTCTATTACCAAGATTCTTCGAAAAAATTAACTTAGATTTAATTATTATATAATTTTGGTAATTTGAAGGGGGCCTTTTGTTTTTGTTTGCCCCGGACATCAAATATCATAGGACGAGTCGTGGTTAAAAGGAAGAGATAGATAATTTAGCAAAGGATTGCCTCTAAAAACATGCAAAGATCATCCTCTCGTTAACAGGCAACATATAGTAAACTTATATACAAACTTGGGGCCGGATTATATATGTGGGCCGAGAATACAAAGCAAAAAATACACAATATAATTCACTAACATCATGCACTTAAATTTCCGAAATCCATAACAAATGTCCTACACTTAATAGGTCCATTACAACTCACTTTTTGTGATGAGGGCTTATGAAATAAAAATTATGTGCTTTTAGCATTACTGCATCAAATTTATAAATATAACATGGTAACTATGTCAATGTCACCATAAAATATTTATGAGAAAAAAACGTAAAGTCGCTTTTTTTAATCTTACTCTAATAAATAATTTTTTTGTCACATGTCACATTCTCATTGATTTGGCCACATGTAATAATGTGTTTATTTTCAATTAAATTTTTTTCACATGGCATTTTGTGGTTTTTCCTATTTTATTAAACTCTACATAATATTTAAATATAATAATTCCAATAAATGTAATAATAAATGCATATCAATTTCAATAATTGATTTTCCTTCTAATTTTAACATTTTTAAACTAAAAGTTCATTAGTTTCCTTGTTTATTTATCTAAATTATTTATTTAAATTTAAAAGAGAAAAAAACACTTTAATTTAATAATTCAATATTTTTCTAATTTTTCTTATAAATTCAAACTTTTTCAAATGTTTAGAATTTTCATATTTTTTTAAATGAACTATATACTAAGCTTTAATCAAATACTGTATACCTTATCTTACGTGTGTGTGTGTGTGTATATATATATATATATATATATATATATATATATATATATATATATATCTCTATCTATATATATATATATCTAGATATATATATATATATATAGGGGATAGGGAATATACATTACAACCCCACCTAAGCTTAGGTATTAAACTTCTAAAATATGTCGTTTTAACATGCTAAATATACCCGGTTTGGTTTCACTTGGTAAATATATCATCCTCCACAACATTTCATTATTTCATTATCGTTTTACCATCTCTGTTTTCTTTCCTCAATTATCGTTTATTACTTCACCCAAGTGAACATTACTAAACCCTAAACCTAAACCCTAAACCCTAAATTTAAACCCTAAACCGTAAACCTACACCCTAAACCCTAAATCTAAACCCTAAACCCTAAACCAAAACACTAAACCCTAAATCTAAACCCTAAACCCTAAACCCTAAACCCTAAACCTAAACCCTAAACCCTAAACCCTAAATCTAAACCTAAACCCTAAACCCTAAACCCTATTGTGTCGATCTTGAATTTACATCTTGAAGTATTAATCGTGAATCCATTAACCGTAATCTTTATATAGTAAAACAATGTATTTTCAAGAGGTTTAGTATAAGCTTAGGTGGGGCTGTAATGTATATTCCCTTTTCCCATATATATATATATATATATATATATATATATATATATATATATACATATACACGCGCATAATATGGTATAAAAATTGGAGTTGATTTTGATACAGCCCAAGGTAAGCCGAAGAGGATGACAGTGAAAGCACCCTATGATCACTTAGGTGGGCAATACACCTTCGAGTTTGACGTCGATGATGATTTTGGGGAGATCGGAGCTGTGCTGGTTGAGAATGACTACCGCAACAAGATATATATACAGAAAATTAAAGTCGACAAACCTAAAAAAGTTACCTTCACATGTTCATTCCAGTTATGATAACGACCAAAGGAGGATCTTCTTCGCTGACAAGGTTTAATTTACATATATAACATGTTTCTGTTTACTAGTAGATCGCAATGGTGTATATATGGCAGCCATTAATATCCCTTAATCTATTTGTAATTTGTACAGTGTTACCTGCCATCGAAAACGCCAAGTGCCCTCAGGTCGCTGAGAAAGAAAGATTTGGAGTTCATTCGAGGCGATGGCCAAGGAGAGCGTAAAGATTTCGAGAGGATTTACGATTATGATGTATACAACGACCTTGGAGATCCCGACAATAAGAGCTCAGATCTTGCACGGCCGGTGCTCGGTGGCAAGAAATTTCCTTACCCTAGGCGCTGCCGTACTGGTCGGAAAATGTCCTCTAAAGGTACGTACATATAACTAACAAACCCATTAAATGATATATCTAAGATGGTTGTTTACAATTCAAACATGTTGAATAACAGATCCGCTGACGGAGACAAGATCTTCAGACCCGTTTTTATGTACCAATCGATGAAGATTTTTCAGAGATAAAGTCGGTATCATTTGGAGCGAGGACTTTGTATAACTTGCTCATTGGTGTTATACCCCGTCTAGGCACCGCTTTTACAGGAAAAGACGAAGACTTTCGTTTATTCCAGGATATAGAGTCGCTTTTTGACGAAGGAGTTGTTATTAATGGTACTGATAAACATGTTGCAAGTGTTTTGCCTAGAATTATCCATGAGGTTGTTGACACCGTGGATGACCTTATCAAGTTTGATCCACCTGAAACTATCCAGAGTAAGCTCGCATATAAACATGCATTATACTTACTCTTTTTAATTAAGTTGTTTGTGATCAGCTTCTTACAAAGGTTTTCTATACATTGCAGGGGACACGTTCTTTTGGCTCCGTGATGATGAATTCAGTCGACAAATGCTTGCTGGTGTCAATCCTTGCAGCATACAGTTGGTTACGGTATATATATCACAACAAATTAAGAGTGTTTTCCAACACATAGTTATATAATTAATGAAAAATCATAAGGTGACTGTGTGTGTGTGTGCAGGAATGGCCATTGATGAGTAAATTGGACCCTAAAGTTTACGGGCCACCTGAATCAGCAATCACCAAGGAGATTGTTGAGCGAGTGATTGGAGGTTTCATGACTTTCGAGGAGGTAATGAAAAACAGAAGGCCGATAATTACTTTATGGAAACTTCATATCTTTTTAATACACCAAATACTACGTACACCATTAATTATGATATATAATTGTCATGTTATAGACTAGAGATGCTATTACGATTGTGAAGTTGTAGTAAATTTGAAAATCAATCATGTTTTTTCAGGCTTGGAACAAAAGAAATTGTTCGTGTTGGATTACCATGATCTACTATTGCCATACGTAAATAGAACAAGAGATATTGATGGGATAACTCTATATGGTTCAAGGACTTAATGTTCCTTACTCCTGCTGGAACGTTGACCCCAGTTGCCATAGAGTTGACTCGACCGTCTTCAGAATGGCAACCACAGTGGAAGCATGTGTACACACCTTCTTTGGGTGCCACTGGTTCTTGGCTATGGAAGATAGCTAAAGCTCATGTCCTTTCTCATGATTCCGGTATTCACCAGCTTGTTAGCCATTGGTAATGTATCGGTTCCTGTTTACTCATAATACTTTAATTACACACGTTTGTGTGTTTTTCCCTAGATCTCATTAATTCATAGGTGAGCTTATCATGATTTGATTTGGCGATGCAGGCTAAGAACTCACTGTGCAACTGAGCCTTACATCATTGCCTCCCACCGTAATCTTAGCACAATGCATCCTATTGCACGACTACTCCACCCTCATTTTCGTTACACCCTGAAGAGATCAACGCCCTAGCTCGACAATCTCTCATTAATGCCGGTGGTGTTATAGAGTCGACATTCTCTCCTGGAAATATTGTATGCACCTTTCCTCTGACGTCTATGATCAGTTGTGGCGTTTTGATCACGAGGCACTTCCAGCTGACTTGATAAGCAGGTGCCCTTAATTTATGCAACTTTGCAATTTGACGACTATGGTTTTCCACTTTTTGTATGGCACGCATCTCTATATTAGCTGGTTAATTATTTTATATTTTTGTATCTTACAGGGGTATGGCTGTTAAAGATCCTACTGAACCACATGGTTTGAAACTAACAATCGAGGACTATCCATTTGCAAACGACGGTCTACTCCTTTGGGATGCCATCAAACAGTGGGTTACGTCTTTTGTCAACAACTACTACCCACAAGCAAGTCTCGTAGCATCTGATGAAGAGCTTCAAGCATGGTGGCATGAGATTCGAACAGTTGGGCATGGCGATAAGAAAGATGAACCATGGTGGCCACAACTCAAAACCCATGATGATTTGATTGGAATCGTGTCAACTATCATATGGGTTACTTCTGGCCAACATTCAGCTGTGAACTTCGGACAATACGAGTATGCTGGTTATTTCCCTAACCGGCCAACCATCGCTAGAACCAAGATGCCTAACGATGACCCAACAGATAAAGACTGGCAGATATTCCTAGACCGGCCTGAGGCTGCGTTGTTGAAATGCTTCCCTTCCAAATCGCAAGCTACCACAGTCATGGCAGTTCTAAACGTTTTATCGACTCATGCCACTGATGAGGAGTACATCGGTAAAACTGCAGAGGGTCCATTTGAGGCGGAGCCAGCTATAAAGGTCGCATATGAAGAGTTTCGTGAAAGGATTAATGAGATGGAACGCACCATAGAGAAAAATAATGCCAATCGCAATTTAAGAAACCGAAGTGGTGCAGGGTTGGTTCCATACAAGCTTCTCAAGCCTTCTTCGGCACCTGGTCCTACCGGAGAAGGTGTTCCAAACAGCATCTCCATCTAGTTCACTCATTTCATGCAATAAAGCTTTTCGAGATGACCGATGCTACATTAATAAGATTACTAAGTATGTTGTTGTGTTTGTTTGTCTTGTCCCTAGTGTTGTTGTTAACAACACGAGTAGTTGCAATGTACGAAATTTGAAATAAAAGAATCTTGGTTCTAAGAATAATCCACTTTGTCTTGATTAATGATTCGTTAACGAGGCTTAGGCCAAGGGGAATGGTGTATCAAACCCATTCAAAAAGTGTTGTTACATAGGTCTACTACATACTCATTACCAAACCGCTAGCCCTTGGAAATGGGTACCACTCCACGTTATTTATTTATTTATTTTTTTACATTATTAGATTGAATTAAAAAAATAATTCGTATAAAAACAAACATTAAATTAAAACACATTACATTAATTTTAAAACACACAAATTTAAATACTAAAATACTTTATATATATATATATATATATATATATAATATATATAATATATATATATCCTAAATACTTAAAAAACACATAAAACATACCAAGTAAAAAATAAATATTAGAACCTACTTTCCATATTTATCGCGGACTTGTTGTTGGATTTTGAGAATATCGCTAGATTTTCCTGTCGAGATTCGATTGGGGCTTTGGTTTTGATTTGAAGATCGGTAAGGCTTGAGGGAGTGGGAGGTGCTAAGCCTCGCCACCTCCCTTGCTAGTAAAGTCTTACCCACTCCTTATCATTTGCTAGCAAACTCGCCAGAAGTGTCTCGCCAAAGAGGTGGCGAGAAGAGAGAGGAAAGAGAAAATAGTTATGTGAATTATGATTGGTTGTTTCCTTTTTATCTATTCTTTTTTTAAGTTTTTTTTCAAAACTAACTTTATTAAAATAACACCCACCACTCCCTATCAAATGCTAAATATTAGATGCTAAGAGAAAAACTTGACGTGGCATTCAAAAAGCTGATATGGCAAGATGCTAGGAGTGTTACCACTCCCTTTCCTAAGAGTGATTTTTTGGCAACGATCTTCCTCCGTTGATGGATTCCACAAGCCCGTCGTCGCTAGTTGCGATTGCTTTTCGCTTGAAGACGCCGCCCGTTTTGCTTTGTCCCTTCCCGTGGTCGACGAAGTTGGACTTCCTGAACCCTCTGCATCGGCAACATCGAATCCATCATTGAGGTCTAACCCAAAACCTGCATCCGAATCGGAAGTTCTTGGTCTTTTGTTGGAGCCGGTGGTCGAGTCCGAATGCGACATCTCCAGATTAAGGACCCATTTGTGCCGTTACGACAAACTTCTCACACGCTTTTTGGTGACCGAGAGGTTTACCATTGTTGGTAACTTTGAATTGGTAGCACGCGGTTGATAAAATGTTGAAGTCATTGCAACCACTTTTATGCATATTTTTTAGATTTTCAAATATGTCATTAAACTTTGTGCAAGCCGCGCGTAGATCACGCCATTTTCCATTAACCGCGTCGTACGAACGATCCGTTTGCCTTCCAAGTAGCGTGTGAAAGTGATCCAAAACACGATTCAAAAACTTTCTTCGGATTGCGCATTGCCTCTTCTCGAGTCACACGATATGAAAATCCAAGCTTTCGCTAAATCTTTTTCCTCTTTTTGTTCCAAGCCACTGTTTTCTTTTTCCCTTTTGCTTTTGGTTGCCTTCTTCGAGATGGTTGTGGTTTTTCTTGGACCCCGTTCATCATCGTTGCCGAGGTTCATAGTGGGGATTGAGATAATAGACTTGAGATGATTGTGTTTGGAAGTGTTGAGAAGTTTGTTGTTGAAAACCTTGGAATTGGGGTTGAGTGAAGTAGGGTCGAATGAATTGTTGTTGTGGTCATTGTTGTTGGAAGAATTATGGGCTGTATGGAAGGTTAGTGAATAAAGGTTGTTGTGGAGTGGAGTGTTCAACAATTGCATGTATGTTTAATAATCATTTGGAGTGTTTGGAGTGGGTGGGGTATTTTGGTTTGAGTCCATTTTTTGAAGAAAATATAAAGAAAGTAGAAGAAATTTTTTTGTAGAAGTGTAAAATGAAGATAAAGTGTTATATATATATATATATATATATATATATATTATCTATATATCTATATATATATATATATATATAATATAGGGCTTAGGGAATATGTGGGTATTATGTACCTAAGCTTATAAGTAGAACCCTACAAAATATGTAGTTTTGATCTATATATGACAAACTAATCATGATATCTCACTTACTATTATTCCTTAATCACGTGACTTGCTACATTACCGATCAAATTTATGTTTTTTTTTTTCATTATGTCTAAGAACTTAAAACACTAAAAATAATGACCATTTAATCAACCATACTAAATTTTAAATTAAAACTAATAGAACAAAAGATAAAAGAATAACATGCAATAACTCAATCAAGGTTTTCACAAATCATTGGATATAGTTTTTCAATTGAATGACAAAATGTTTGAGTTATATTCATTAAAAAATATTGGTTTTTTACTTTTCCTATAAACTTCAATGATTTTTTTGCAAAAAAAAAGATACATATATGATCTTTTTCATTCCATAATTTAACTCAATTCAATGGTATTATATTACTACAAAATTAAGAGAAATGAAATTGGATTTGTTTTGTTTAAACTAAGTCGTTTAAAAGGTTCTATACCTAAGTTTAGGTACATAACAGCCACATATTAATTTTTCCCATATATATATATAATATATATATATATATATATATATATATATATATATGGTGTTGTGTGTGTGTGTGTGTTGTGTGTTGGAGAGATTGATTGTCGACGGTGAGTAAATGTACGTTTTAATGTTCATAATTTTATATGAATTTTCAGGCCCGGTTAAAGAGGAGGGCAAGCTGGGCCACTGCCCAGGGCCCATATCAACTTGAGGGCCCCAAATTTATATGAGTAGGTATTTTATAATATTAAATTCTGCCTGCTTATAATGTGAAATTGACTCTAGCTGACTTGGTAAGATCATCTTTTCATTTTAGGCACGCGTATTCGATTCCTTGGAGTAGCAGCCTTTTTAGTTTTTACCACTTACTTAATCCTTTTTTTTAATATGTTCGGTTATCCTTTTTCTCAATTGCTTCTGTTTTTTCTTCCTATTTTTTACTTTGATTTCATTTATAATTTATATTAAAGTTATATCCAATAAACAATAAAAAAAATAATAACACATAGTAGGCTAGATGGTTTATATGTTTGATTTTATTTGAATGTTACGTAATAGTATTGATTTTGACATTTTTCTAATTATTTTCTTTAAAATTCATTTGAAGTTATTTACATATATTTTGTATATTAACAAATTTTGTAATAAATCACTAAAATTTTTATTTATGATCATTAGTTTGTCTATTACCAAGATTCTTCGAAAAAAATTAACTTAGATTTAATTATTATATAAATTTTGGTAATTTGAAGGGGGCCTTTTGTTTTTGTTTTGCCCCGGACATCAAATATCATAGGACGAGTCGTGGTTAAAAGGAAGAGATAGATAATTTAGCAAAGGATTGCCTCTAAAACATGCAAAGATCATCCTCTCGTTAACAGGCAACATATAGTAAACTTATATACAAACTTTGGGCCGGATTATATATGTGGGCCGAGAATACAAAGCATAAAAATACACAATATAATTCACTAACATCATGCACTTAAATTTCCGAAATCCATAACAAATGTCCTACACTTAATAGGTCCATTACAACTCACTTTTTGTGATGAGGGCTTATGAAATAAAAATTATGTGCTTTTAGCATTACTGCATCAAATATAAATATAACATGGTAACTATGTCAATGTCACCATAAAATATTTATGAGAAAAAAACGTAAAGTCGCTTTTTTTAATCTTACTCTAATAAATAATTTTTTTTGTCACATGTCACATTCTCATTGATTTGGCCACATGTAATAATGTGTTTATTTTCAATTAAATTTTTCACATGGCATTTTGTGGTTTTTCCTATTTTATTAAACGCTACATAATATTTAAATATAATATTCCATAAATGTAATAATAAATGCATATCAATTTCAATAATTGATTTTCCTTCTATTTGAACATTTTTAAACTAAAAGTTCATAGTTTCCTTTGTTATTTCTAAATTATTTATTTAAATTTAAAAGAGAAAAAAACACTTTAATTTAATAATTCAATATTTTTCTAATTTTTCTTATAAATTCAAACTTTTTCAAATGTTTAGAATTTTCATATTTTTTTAAATGAACTATATACTAAGCTTTAATCAAATACTGTATACCTTATCTTACGTGTGTGTGTGTGTGTATATATAGATATATAGATTATATATATATATATAATATATATATATAATATAATATAGGGATAGGGAATATACATTACAACCCCACCTAAGCTTAGGTATTAAACTTCTAAAATATGTCGTTTTAACATGCTAAATATACCCGGTTTGGTTTCACTTGGTAAATATATCATCCTCCACAACATTTCATTATTTCATTATCGTTTTACCATCTCTGTTTCTTTCCTCAATTATCGTTATTACTTCACCCAAGTGAACATTACTAAACCCTAACCTAAACCCTAAACCCTAAACCCTAAATTTAAACCCTAAACCCTAAACCTACACCCTAAACCCTAAATCTAAACCCTAAACCCTAAACCAAAACACTAAACCCTAAATCTAAACCCTAAACCCTAAACCCTAAACCCTAAACCTAAACCCTAAACCCTAAACCCTAAACCCTAAATCTAAACCCTAAACCCTAAACCCTTGTGTCGATCTTGAATTTACATCTTGAAGTATAATCGTGAATCCATTAACCGTAATCTTTATATAGTAAAACAATGTATTTTCAAGAGGTTTAGTACATAAGCTTAGGTGGGGCTGTATGTATATTCCCTTTTCCCATATATATATAATATATATATATATATATATAATATATATATATATATATATAATATATAACACGCATAATATGGTATAAAATTGGAGTTGATTTTGATACAGCCCAAGGTAAGCCCGAGGATGACAGTGAAAGCACCCTATGATCACTTAGGTGGGCAATACACCTTCGAGTTTGACGTCGATGATGATTTGGGGAGATCGGAGCTGTGCTGGTTGAGAATGACTACCGCAACAAGATATATAACAGAAAATTAAAGTCGACAAACCTAAAAAAGTTACCTTCACATGTAATTCATGGGTTCATTCCAGTTATGATAACGACCAAAGGAGGATCTTCTTCGCTGACAAGGTTTAATTTACATATATAACATGTTCTGTTTACTAGTAGATCGCAATGGTGTATATATGGCAGCCATTAATATCCCTTAATCTATTTGTAATTTGTACAGTGTTACCTGCCATCGAAAACGCCAAGTGCCCTCAGGTCGCTGAGAAAGAAAGATTTGGAGTTCATTCGAGGCGATGGCCAAGGAGAGCGTAAAGATTTCGAGAGGATTTACGATTATGATGTATACAACGACCTTGGAGATCCCGACAATAAGAGCTCAGATCTTGCACGGCCGGTGCTCGGTGGCAAGAAATTTCCTTACCCTAGGCGCTGCCGTACTGGTCGGAAAATGTCCTCTAAAGGTACGTACATATAACTAACAAACCCATTAAATGATATATCTAAGATGGTTGTTTACAATTCAAACATGTTGAATAACAGATCCGCTGACGGAGACAAGATCTTCAGACCCGTTTTATGTACCAATCGATGAAGATTTTTCAGAGATAAAGTCGGTATCATTTGGAGCGAGGACTTTGTATAACTTGCTCATTGGTGTTATACCCCGTCTAGGCACCGCTTTTACAGGAAAAGACGAAGACTTTCGTTTATTCCAGGATATAGAGTCGCTTTTTGACGAAGGAGTTGTTATTAATGGTACTGATAAACATGTTGCAAGTGTTTTGCCTAGAATTATCCATGAGGTTGTTGACACCGTGGATGACCTTATCAAGTTTGATCCACCTGAAACTATCCAGAGTAAGCTCGCATATAAACATGCATTATACTTACTCTTTTTAATTAAGTTGTTTGTGATCAGCTTCTTACAAAGGTTTTCTATACATTGCAGGGGACACGTTCTTTTGGCTCCGTGATGATGAATTCAGTCGACAAATGCTTGCTGGTGTCAATCCTTGCAGCATACAGTTGGTTACGGTATATATATCACAACAAATTAAGAGTGTTTTCCAACACATAGTTATATAATTAATGAAAAATCATAAGGTGACTGTGTGTGTGTGTGCAGGAATGGCCATTGATGAGTAAATTGGACCCTAAAGTTTACGGGCCACCTGAATCAGCAATCACCAAGGAGATTGTTGAGCGAGTGATTGGAGGTTTCATGACTTTCGAGGAGGTAATGAAAAACAGAAGGCCGATAATTACTTTATGGAAACTTCATATCTTTTTAATACACCAAATACTACGTACACCATTAATTATGATATATAATTGTCATGTTATAGACTAGAGATGCTATTACGATTGTGAAGTTGTAGTAAATTTGAAAATCAATCATGTTTTTTCAGGCTTTGGAACAAAAGAAATTGTTCGTGTTGGATTACCATGATCTACTATTGCCATACGTAAATAGAACAAGAGATATTGATGGGATAACTCTATATGGTTCAAGGACTTTAATGTTCCTTACTCCTGCTGGAACGTTGACCCCAGTTGCCATAGAGTTGACTCGACCGTCTTCAGAATGGCAACCACAGTGGAAGCATGTGTACACACCTTCTTTGGGTGCCACTGGTTCTTGGCTATGGAAGATAGCTAAAGCTCATGTCCTTTCTCATGATTCCGGTATTCACCAGCTTGTTAGCCATTGGTAATGTATCGGTTCCTGTTTACTCATAATACTTTAATTACACACGTTTGTGTGTTTTTCCCTAGATCTCATTAATTCATAGGTGAGCTTATCATGATTTGATTTGGCGATGCAGGCTAAGAACTCACTGTGCAACTGAGCCTTACATCATTGCCTCCCACCGTAATCTTAGCACAATGCATCCTATTGCACGACTACTCCACCCTCATTTTCGTTACACCCTGAAGATCAACGCCCTAGCTCGACAATCTCTCATTAATGCCGGTGGTGTTATAGAGTCGACATTCTCTCCTGGAAAATATTGTATGCAACTTTCCTCTGACGTCTATGATCAGTTGTGGCGTTTTGATCACGAGGCACTTCCAGCTGACTTGATAAGCAGGTGCCCTTAATTTATGCAACTTTGCAATTTGACGACTATGGTTTTCCACTTTTTGTATGGCACGCATCTCTATATATAGCTGGTTAATTATTTTATATATTTTGTATCTTACAGGGGTATGGCTGTTAAAGATCCTACTGAACCACATGGTTTGAAACTAACAATCGAGGACTATCCATTTGCAAACGACGGTCTACTCCTTTGGGATGCCATCAAACAGTGGGTTACGTCTTTTGTCAACAACTACTACCCACAAGCAAGTCTCGTAGCATCTGATGAAGAGCTTCAAGCATGGTGGCATGAGATTCGAACAGTTGGGCATGGCGATAAGAAAGATGAACCATGGTGGCCACAACTCAAAACCCATGATGATTTGATTGGAATCGTGTCAACTATCATATGGGTTACTTCTGGCCAACATTCAGCTGTGAACTTCGGACAATACGAGTATGCTGGTTATTTCCCTAACCGGCCAACCATCGCTAGAACCAAGATGCCTAACGATGACCCAACAGATAAAGACTGGCAGATATTCCTAGACCGGCCTGAGGCTGCGTTGTTGAAATGCTTCCCTTCCAAATCGCAAGCTACCACAGTCATGGCAGTTCTAAACGTTTTATCGACTCATGCCACTGATGAGGAGTACATCGGTAAAACTGCAGAGGGTCCATTTGAGGCGGAGCCAGCTATAAAGGTCGCATATGAAGAGTTTCGTGAAAGGATTAATGAGATGGAACGCACCATAGAGAAAAATAATGCCAATCGCAATTTAAGAAACCGAAGTGGTGCAGGGTTGGTTCCATACAAGCTTCTCAAGCCTTCTTCGGCACCTGGTCCTACCGGAGAAGGTGTTCCAAACAGCATCTCCATCTAGTTCACTCATTTCATGCAATAAAGCTTTTCGAGATGACCGATGCTACATTAATAAGATTACTAAGTATGTTGTTGTGTTTGTTTGTCTTGTCCCTAGTGTTGTTGTTAACAACACGAGTAGTTGCAATGTACGAAATTTGAAATAAAAGAATCTTGGTTCTAAGAATAATCCACTTTGTCTTGATTAATGATTCGTTAACGAGGCTTAGGCCAAGGGGAATGGTGTATCAAACCCATTCAAAAAGTGTTGTTACATAGGTCTACTACATACTCATTACCAAACCGCTAGCCCTTGGAAATGGGTACCACTCCACGTTATTTATTTATTTATTTTTTTACATTATTAGATTGAATTAAAAAAATAATTCGTATAAAAACAAACATTAAATTAAAACACATTACATTAATTTTAAAACACACAAATTTAAATACTAAAATACTTATATATATATATATATATATTATATATATATATATATATATATATCCTAAATTACTTAAAAAAACATAAAACATACCAAGTAAAAAATAAATATTAGAACCTACTTTCCATATTTATCGCGGACTTGTTGTTGGATTTTGAGAAATATCGCTAGATTTTCCGTGTCGAGATTCGATTGGGGCTTTGTGTTTATGATTTGAAGATCGGTAAGGCTTGAGGGAGTGGGAGGTGCTAAGCCTCGCCACCTCCCTTGCTAGTAAAGTCTTACCCACTCCTTATCATTTGCTAGCAAACTCGCCAGAAGTGTCTCGCCAAAGAGGTGGCGAGAAGAGAGAGGAAAGAGAAAATAGTTATGTGAATTATGATTGGTTGTTTCCTTTTTATCTATTCTTTTTTTAAGTTTTTTTTCAAACTAAACTTTATTAAAATAACACACCACCACTCCCTATCAAATGCTAAATATTAGATGCTAAGAGAAAAACTTGACGTGGCATTCAAAAAGCTGATATGGCAAGATGCTAGGAGTGTTACCACTCCCTTTAGCCTAAGAGTGATTTTTTGGCAACGATCTTCCTCCGTTGATGGATTCCACAAGCCCGTCGTCGCTAGTTGCGATTGCTTTTCCGCTTGAAGACGCCGCCCGTTTTGCTTTGTCCCTTCCCGGTGGTCGACGAAGTTGGACTTCCTGAACCCTCTGCATCGGCAACATCGAATCCATCATTGAGGTCTAACCCAAAACCTGCATCCGAATCGGAAGTTCTTGGTCTTTTGTTGGAGCCGGTGGTCGAGTCCGAATGCGACATCTCCAGATTAAGGACCCATTTTGTGCCGTTACGACAAACTTCTCACGCTTTTTGGTGACCGAGAGGTTTACCATTGTTGGTAACTTTGAATTGGTAGCACGCGGTTGATAAAATGTTGAAGTCATTGCAACCACTTTTATGCATATTTTTTAGATTTTCAAATATGTCATTAAACTTTGTGCAAGCCGCGCGTAGATCACGCCATTTTCCATTAACCGCGTCGTACGAACGATCCGTTTGCCTTCCAAGTAGCGTGTGAAAGTGATCCAAAACACGATTCAAAAACTTTCTTCGGATTGCGCATTGCCTCTTCTCGAGTCACACGATATGAAAATCCAAGCTTTCGCTAAATCTTTTTCCTCTTTTTTGTTCCAAGCCACTGTTTTCTTTTTCCCTTTTGCTTTTGGTTGCCTTCTTCGAGATGGTTGTGGTTTTTCTTGGACCCCGTTCATCATCGTTGCCGAGGTTCATAGTTGGGGATTGAGATAATAGGACTTGAGATGATTGTGTTTGGAAGTGTTGAGAAGTTTGTTGTTGAAAACCTTGGAATTGGGGTTGAGTGAAGTAGGGTCGAATGAATTGTTGTTGTGGTCATTGTTGTTGGAAGAATTATGGGCTGTATGGAAGGTTAGTGAATAAAGGTTGTTGGTGGAGTGGAGTGTTCAACAATTGCATGTATGTTTAATAATCATTTGGAGTGTTTGGAGTGGGTGGGGTATTTTGGTTTGAGTCCATTTTTTGAAGAAAATATAAAGAAAGTAGAAGAAATTTTTTTGTAGAAGTGTAAAATGAAGATAAAGTGTTATATATATATATATATATATATATATATATATATATATATATATATATATATATATATATATATATATATATATATATATAGGGCTTAGGGAATATGTGGGTATTATGTACCTAAGCTTATAAGTAGAACCCTACAAAATATGTAGTTTTGATCTATATATGACAAACTAATCATGATATCTCACTTACTATTATTCCTTAATCACGTGACTTGCTACATTACCGATCAAATTTATTTTTTTTTCATTATGTCTAAGAACTTAAAACACTAAAAATAATGACCATTTAATCAACCATACTAAATTTTAAATTAAAACTAATAGAACAAAAGATAAAAGAATAACATGCAATAACTCAATCAAGGTTTTCACAAATCATTGGATATAGTTTTTCAATTGAATGACAAAATGTTTGAGTTATATTCATTAAAAAATATTGGTTTTTTACTTTTCCTATAAACTTCAATGATTTTTTTTGCAAAAAAAAAAGATACATATATGATCTTTTTCATTCCATAATTTAACTCAATTCAATGGTATTATATTACTACAAAATTAAGAGAAAATGAAATTGGATTTGTTTTGTTTAAAACTAAGTCGTTTAAAAGGTTCTATACCTAAGTTTAGGTACATAACAGCCACATATTAATTTTTCCCATATATATATATATATATATATATATATATATATATATATATATATGTGTGTGTGTGTGTGTGTGTGTGTGTGAGAGAGATTGATTGTCGACGGTGAGTAGAATGTACGTTTTAATGTTCATAATTTTATATGAATTTTCAGGCCCGGTTAAAGAGGAGGGCAAGCTGGGCCACTGCCCAGGGCCCATATCAACTTGAGGGCCCCAAATTTATATGAGTAGGTATTTTATAATATTAAATTCTGCCTGCTTATAATGTGAAATTGACTCTAGCTGACTTGGTAAGATCATCTTTTCATTTGATTAGGCACGCGTATTCGATTCCTTGGAGTAGCAGCCTTTTTAGTTTTTACCACTTACTTAATCCTTTTTTTTAATATGTTCGGTTATCCTTTTTCTCAATTGCTTCTGTTTTTTCTTCCTATTTTTTACTTTGATTTCATTTATAATTTATATTAAAGTTATATCCAATAAACAATAAAAAAATAATAACACATAGTAGGCTAGATGGTTTATATGTTTGATTTTATTTGAATGTTACGTAATAGTATTGATTTTGACATTTTTCTAATTATTTTCTTTAAAATTCATTTGAAGTTATTTACATATAATTTTGTATATTAACAATCTTTTGTAATAAATCACTAAATATTTTTATTTATGATCATTAGTTTGTCTATTACCAAGATTCTTCGAAAAAAATTAACTTAGATTTAATTATTATATAAATTTTGGTAATTTGAAGGGGGCCTTTTGTTTTTGTTTTGCCCCGGACATCAAATATCATAGGACGAGTCGTGGTTAAAAGGAAGAGATAGATAATTTAGCAAAGGATTGCCTCTAAAAACATGCAAAGATCATCCTCTCGTTAACAGGCAACATATAGTAAACTTATATACAAACTTTGGGCCGGATTATATATGTGGGCCGAGAATACAAAGCATAAAAATACACAATATAATTCACTAACATCATGCACTTAAATTTCCGAAATCCATAACAAATGTCCTACACTTAATAGGTCCATTACAACTCACTTTTTGTGATGAGGGCTTATGAAATAAAAATTATGTGCTTTTAGCATTACTGCATCAAATTTATAAATATAACATGGTAACTATGTCAATGTCACCATAAAATATTTATGAGAAAAAACGTAAAGTCGCTTTTTTTAATCTTACTCTAATAAATAATTTTTTTTGTCACATGTCACATTCTCATTGATTTGGCCACATGTAATAATGTGTTTATTTTCAATTAAATTTTTTTCACATGGCATTTTGTGGTTTTTCCTATTTTATTAAACTCTACATAATATTTAAATATAATAATTCCAATAAATGTAATAATAAATGCATATCAATTTCAATAATTGATTTTCCTTCTAATTTTAACATTTTTAAACTAAAAGTTCATTAGTTTCCTTTGTTTATTTATCTAAATTATTTATTTAAATTTAAAAGAGAAAAAAACACTTTAATTTAATAATTCAATATTTTTCTAATTTTTCTTATAAATTCAAACTTTTTCAAATGTTTAGAATTTTCATATTTTTTTAAATGAACTATATACTAAGCTTTAATCAAATACTGTATACCTTATCTTACGTGTGTGGGGTGTAGATATAGATATATAGATATATATATATATATATATATATATATATATATATATATATATATATATATATATATATATAGGGGATAGGGAATATACATTACAACCCCACCTAAGCTTAGGTATTAAACTTCTAAAATATGTCGTTTTAACATGCTAAATATACCCGGTTTGGTTTCACTTGGTAAATATATCATCCTCCACAACATTTCATTATTTCATTATCGTTTTACCATCTCTGTTTTCTTTCCTCAATTATCGTTTATTACTTCACCCAAGTGAACATTACTAAACCCTAAACCTAAACCCTAAACCCTAAATTTAAACCCTAAACCCTAAACCTACACCCTAAACCCTAAATCTAAACCCTAAACCCTAAACCAAAACACTAAACCCTAAATCTAAACCCTAAACCCTAAACCCTAAACCCTAAACCTAAACCCTAAACCCTAAACCCTAAATCTAAACCCTAAACCCTAAACCCTATTGTGTCGATCTTGAATTTACATCTTGAAGTATTAATCGTGAATCCATTAACCGTAATCTTTATATAGTAAAACAATGTATTTTCAAGAGGTTTAGTACATAAGCTTAGGTGGGGCTGTAATGTATATTCCCTTTTCCCATATATATATATATATATATATATATATATATATATATATATATATATATATATATATACACGCGCATAATATGGTATAAAAATTGGAGTTGATTTTGATACAGCCCAAGGTAAGCCGAAGAGGATGACAGTGAAAGCACCCTATGATCACTTAGGTGGGCAATACACCTTCGAGTTTGACGTCGATGATGATTTTGGGGAGATCGGAGCTGTGCTGGTTGAGAATGACTACCGCAACAAGATATATATACAGAAAATTAAAGTCGACAAACCTAAAAAAGTTACCTTCACATGTAATTCATGGGTTCATTCCAGTTATGATAACGACCAAAGGAGGATCTTCTTCGCTGACAAGGTTTAATTTACATATATAACATGTTTCTGTTTACTAGTAGATCGCAATGGTGTATATATGGCAGCCATTAATATCCCTTAATCTATTTGTAATTTGTACAGTGTTACCTGCCATCGAAAACGCCAAGTGCCCTCAGGTCGCTGAGAAAGAAAGATTTGGAGTTCATTCGAGGCGATGGCCAAGGAGAGCGTAAAGATTTCGAGAGGATTTACGATTATGATGTATACAACGACCTTGGAGATCCCGACAATAAGAGCTCAGATCTTGCACGGCCGGTGCTCGGTGGCAAGAAATTTCCTTACCCTAGGCGCTGCCGTACTGGTCGGAAAATGTCCTCTAAAGGTACGTACATATAACTAACAAACCCATTAAATGATATATCTAAGATGGTTGTTTACAATTCAAACATGTTGAATAACAGATCCGCTGACGGAGACAAGATCTTCAGACCCGTTTTATGTACCAATCGATGAAGATTTTTCAGAGATAAAGTCGGTATCATTTGGAGCGAGGACTTTGTATAACTTGCTCATTGGTGTTATACCCCGTCTAGGCACCGCTTTTACAGGAAAAGACGAAGACTTTCGTTTATTCCAGGATATAGAGTCGCTTTTTGACGAAGGAGTTGTTATTAATGGTACTGATAAACATGTTGCAAGTGTTTTGCCTAGAATTATCCATGAGGTTGTTGACACCGTGGATGACCTTATCAAGTTTGATCCACCTGAAACTATCCAGAGTAAGCTCGCATATAAACATGCATTATACTTACTCTTTTTAATTAAGTTGTTTGTGATCAGCTTCTTACAAAGGTTTTCTATACATTGCAGGGGACACGTTCTTTTGGCTCCGTGATGATGAATTCAGTCGACAAATGCTTGCTGGTGTCAATCCTTGCAGCATACAGTTGGTTACGGTATATATATCACAACAAATTAAGAGTGTTTTCCAACACATAGTTATATAATTAATGAAAAATCATAAGGTGACTGTGTGTGTGTGTGCAGGAATGGCCATTGATGAGTAAATTGGACCCTAAAGTTTACGGGCCACCTGAATCAGCAATCACCAAGGAGATTGTTGAGCGAGTGATTGGAGGTTTCATGACTTTCGAGGAGGTAATGAAAAACAGAAGGCCGATAATTACTTTATGGAAACTTCATATCTTTTTAATACACCAAATACTACGTACACCATTAATTATGATATATAATTGTCATGTTATAGACTAGAGATGCTATTACGATTGTGAAGTTGTAGTAAATTTGAAAATCAATCATGTTTTTTCAGGCTTTGGAACAAAAGAAATTGTTCGTGTTGGATTACCATGATCTACTATTGCCATACGTAAATAGAACAAGAGATATTGATGGGATAACTCTATATGGTTCAAGGACTTTAATGTTCCTTACTCCTGCTGGAACGTTGACCCCAGTTGCCATAGAGTTGACTCGACCGTCTTCAGAATGGCAACCACAGTGGAAGCATGTGTACACACCTTCTTTGGGTGCCACTGGTTCTTGGCTATGGAAGATAGCTAAAGCTCATGTCCTTTCTCATGATTCCGGTATTCACCAGCTTGTTAGCCATTGGTAATGTATCGGTTCCTGTTTACTCATAATACTTTAATTACACACGTTTGTGTGTTTTTCCCTAGATCTCATTAATTCATAGGTGAGCTTATCATGATTTGATTTGGCGATGCAGGCTAAGAACTCACTGTGCAACTGAGCCTTACATCATTGCCTCCCACCGTAATCTTAGCACAATGCATCCTATTGCACGACTACTCCACCCTCATTTTCGTTACACCCTGAAGATCAACGCCCTAGCTCGACAATCTCTCATTAATGCCGGTGGTGTTATAGAGTCGACATTCTCTCCTGGAAAATATTGTATGCACCTTTCCTCTGACGTCTATGATCAGTTGTGGCGTTTTGATCACGAGGCACTTCCAGCTGACTTGATAAGCAGGTGCCCTTAATTTATGCAACTTTGCAATTTGACGACTATGGTTTTCCACTTTTTGTATGGCACGCATCTCTATATATAGCTGGTTAATTATTTTATATATTTTGTATCTTACAGGGGTATGGCTGTTAAAGATCCTACTGAACCACATGGTTTGAAACTAACAATCGAGGACTATCCATTTGCAAACGACGGTCTACTCCTTTGGGATGCCATCAAACAGTGGGTTACGTCTTTTGTCAACAACTACTACCCACAAGCAAGTCTCGTAGCATCTGATGAAGAGCTTCAAGCATGGTGGCATGAGATTCGAACAGTTGGGCATGGCGATAAGAAAGATGAACCATGGTGGCCACAACTCAAAACCCATGATGATTTGATTGGAATCGTGTCAACTATCATATGGGTTACTTCTGGCCAACATTCAGCTGTGAACTTCGGACAATACGAGTATGCTGGTTATTTCCCTAACCGGCCAACCATCGCTAGAACCAAGATGCCTAACGATGACCCAACAGATAAAGACTGGTAGATATTCCTAGACCGGTCTGAGGCTGCGTTGTTGAAATGCTTCCCTTCCAAATCGCAAGCTACCACAGTCATGGCAGTTCTAAACGTTTTATCGACTCATGCCACTGATGAGGAGTACATCGGTAAAACTGCAGAGGGTCCATTTGAGGCGGAGCCAGCTATAAAGGTCGCATATGAAGAGTTTCGTGAAAGGATTAATGAGATGGAACGCACCATAGAGAAAAATAATGCCAATCGCAATTTAAGAAACCGAAGTGGTGCAGGGTTGGTTCCATACAAGCTTCTCAAGCCTTCTTCGGCACCTAGTCCTACCGGAGAAGGTGTTCCAAACAGCATCTCCATCTAGTTTAGTCATTTGTACCCTTTATTTGTTGGGTTTCTAAAAATCTTTCCCCGGCAACGGCGCCAATTTGTTAGGCGTGTCAAACCCAACAAATAAAGGGTACAAATGACTCCTTAAACACTACTACTCTGCACTAAAAACGTAGTACAAGGTAAGTAGGGTCGATCCACAGAGACACGGGACAAGTGTTTATACCTTTTTGCGTAAGGTACAAAAATGGTCACAGAATGGGGGGAATTTATAAGCAATGATTTAAACTATAGAATAAAGCAATAAGTAAATGATTGATTAAGTGAAATAAGTTTAAGATTTGTAAGTACTCCAACTCTATGCAAGACAAATTAGAAATGTGATTCCATGGATGACAAGATATTTGTTTAATTCTATCTAAGTTGGTACTTGAAAGTGTTAACAAGCTCTAACACTTCCCATTCACCACAATAATTAACCAAAACAAGCTCTTTGATTAATCCTAACCTTACCAATCTAATCTAAACAAACTCTTAGAATTAGGTTGAAAGATTGCATTAAACTTTATGTGAATGTTCCCAACAACACTCAATACTCCTCATAAGCTCGGGAGCATAAGAATGTGTGAATAAGATTTACACTAAATTCATTCAATAGAAATCAGTTTAGTGCTTCTTACCTAGTCCAATTTACAAAATAATTACAGATTTTGCAATTAGATAACTTGAATGATCTAACCCTAATTCAAATGGCCAATAAGAATCACAATTAGAATCAAACATTCGATTGAAACAAAATCAAATTCACTAGATAGAAAATTAAAAGAAAACATCAAGTCATATGATTGAAATCACAACTAGAAGTCAAGACATAAAGTTGGAGATCTAGGGTTCTAGCCACTCATGACTAGAACAAGATCACAAATCTAGAAAATGAAATTAAAGTTCTTACAAAATGAAATCAAATGTTCCCAAGTGTTAATCAACTTCAAAATCCTCAAGAAAATCGCCTTCTCTACTCCAAAAGTCGACCCCCCAAAGTAAAAAGTCGGTTCCCCCCTTTAAAAATGGTGAAAAACTGCTTTAAAACCCGCATTTACGTTTACACGGCCCGCGTAAATTAACACTGTCATTTACACGGCCCGCGTAAACGCAAAAATATACTGTGCAGAAATCTACGTTTACACGGCCCGCGTAAATGCAAGGCTTGCATTTACACGGCCGTGTAAATCTCTGTAAAGCCAAAATCTTCATTTCTTTGATATCTTGCTCCTCGGTGCTCCGCAAGTCCTGAAATTTTCTCCGCAACTTTTATTTACCTCCTCCAACAATATCCTACCTCCAAAAGTCCCTGAAATATCACAAAAGTATTTGAATGAAATTGCCTCATGAAAAATCCCGAAAAACATGTAAAATGCATGAGTTTAAGCCTATATGCAATGTACTTTTATGAAATAAAGCTACAAAATGGGTACATGAAATGCACCTAACACTTGTCCTTAACAAGATATAGTGTTGTTGTTACCAACACGAGTAGTTGGAATGTACCTAATTTGAAATAAAAGAATCTTGGTTCTAATTAAGAATTATTCAATTAATCTTAATTAATGACTCGTTACTTAGTCACTCAAACTCAAGCTCAAACAATGATGGTGTGTAGGGTTGTGCAATAGCAAGTGATTGGAACCCCCACCAAATAAACACCGAAAAAAAAAATATAGCAATGAAACCAATAATTAACTAGACGCGTCTTAATTAAGTTGTATGGTTTCAGTTTATAAGACTAACCTCATTAGGGACGCGTGTTTTAGGAAACCATTCATCAAATTTTGAGGGATACAAAATAAAAATAAAAAAGTTGACTAGTTGACTTTTGCTCCCTTCTGTGTCATCCACACCAAATCAACCTACCTCTTCAGTCTAACACCTAGCCGCCTTCTTGACGATGCTGCTAGTTTCCTATGGACGTCCGTGTTGCTCGAGTCCGTTTCTAAAGACCTTGATTGTACGTATAGTATACCTACTTCTTACAGTCAGGAAATGCTGTGTGAAATTCAAATTCAAAATAAGATATGGAGCTAGAGTTTGGTAACTTTATTTTTATTTTTCCATTATAGGCAATATTAGTGTAACACCCGTTTATTTATTAGTTAAATAAATAAATTAATGAACGAATGGTAGCCTAAAATAAATAATTATATATTCAGGGTGTTTGGTTCGAATAGTTAATTGCCACATTTTTAGAAGCCGGGGGTTAAAAGTGTGAGTTCGGGACTCATTTTATAAATATTTATGAAGACAGGGGCTCCGTGGTACTTATTGGAACTTGAGTTGGAAAGAATGTGAGGAGGAGGGACTAATAATGTCAACATGGCTGAAACTTGATCACTCAGACCTAATTTGTAATGGATTTTAGATGGTGGGGTTCAAATGGTAAAATTTGGGTTAGTTTGAAAATAATTTTGGAAGGGAGGGACTATTTCTGCCATTATGGCATTAACCTTCCTAGGGCACGGGTATATAACCCACACTAACCCTAAACCTAAGGGAAGCTATGAGCCGTCACCCTCCTTATGCCCACTCACCGGCTGCCACTCCTACTTCTTCACCTCCCGGCGCCGCACTACCACTATTGAGCCGTCGACCACCGAAGCCGCCATAACGAACCTGCCGCTGCCACTATCTCAGGTTCTATGCCTCCACGAGTTGTCCCCGGAGGAACCGAGGCAGTTGAAGTCCGATGTCGGGGCAGGTATTGCTGCCGTTCCCAGCCAATAACGTTGCTGCCGGAGTGTGCCGTCGGCCTCCCAGCAGCGTTGCTATTTCAAATCCTCGAGGAGGACACGAGCAGGCGCCTCCTCCTTCCGTTGCTGTTGTTGTCGCGGTTTGCTTCGCCGTACTGTCGCCGTTGCTGTTGTTCTCTTGTGTTGCTGCCGACGACGTGTCTATCGCTGCCACCACCGTGAACCTCTAGGTGGGTGGTGGTGTAACTGTTTCGGGGCTTTGTGTGTGTGTCGTAGTGTGTGGGTGTGAAACCCTTGGTCAAAATCTGAAGGGAAGTCACCGCCACCACCGTGAGGTGGTGGCTACCGCCATGCGCCACCGCCGACCACCATTAGGTGGTTGTGTGTGTGTGATTAGCTTAGTGGGTGTGTATGTGTTAATTGATTATTTTTTTGTAAGATGTAATTAGAAATTGAGATAATAAAAGAAATTAAAAACCACCACCTTAGGGTGGTGGCTGCCGCCACCGGCCGTCGTGTCGGGTGGCGGTGTGCCTCGTTGTATGGTGACTCGTTGGTGATGTTTGGACAAGGGACATAAACCCTAATGGGCCCAATGAAGCCCTAATTGACATTAAAGCCCAAACATGCGTCTAATGGGCTTAATGGACCCTAATGGATCTAAAGACTTAGCTAATGGTCCTATTGGGCTAAGATGGGTTGGAAACCCTAATAAGGGTTTGGAAAACCCTAATGCCATGAAACCTTAATTTGGGGTTTATCGGGATCGCATCGGGATTAATTAATGAACTCAGAATATTAATTAATAATCATTTGCAATCAACCTAAGTCAACATTGGACTTAATGGATTAAGTCCTTAGTGGGTTAAGTCCTTAATGGGTTAAGTAGGAAACTTAACCCTAATCGTCATTTTATGTGAAACCCTAATTTCACTTGGGTTTATTATTGGGCCTTTCAGTTGGGCCTTGATGATTAGATTACTAATGGGCCATCCAAGAATAATCATATGGACTAGAATATGTTGATGGGCTTAGGGTAAGGCCCATATGAGGGTTTGGGCCCAATTTGGAAAATTAGGCCATAGATGGGCCATAGTTGGGCCTTAATGGTTATGTGATATTGGGCCATTAGAATGTTGAATGTTGGACTGGACTAAATGGTTGGGCCTTATGGTAAGACCTTGTAACGGTATGGGCCCAATTTGGAAAATTGGGCCATATGATGGGCTTTGACTCATAGTTGACTTTTGGGCCTATGGATTGGGCCTTGGGCTTGAATAAAGCCAAGCATGGGGTAATGTAGTAATGACCCAAGTACGTACTTATGATTATGTAGTGGAACCCAATTCTTAATTGGGTGATGTTTGATATTGACAGTTCGAGAATCTGTCATCCAACAGCTGGGGTTGAGTCTGCGGGACTTCAGCAGTAGGGGTGAAATAGTCCCCGGTTACCAGTTGAAAGATACCGATGGCAGTTACCGGTTGAAAGATACCGATGGTATTATGTGGTATGTGGTATGATGGGGGAACTCACTAAGCTTCGTGGTTACGGTTTACAGTTTTGGTTTCAGGTACTCGTTTTCAAAGGAAAGGAGTCGGCTTGATCGCAGCGCATCACACTATGTTTTCCGCACATGAGATCTTTGAGATTACACTCTGATATGGTTTTATGATAAAATGCTTTGATTATTGACACTTTGGTTTTGACATGAGATATGAATATAAATGTTTTATTACTGATGGTTTTATATTATAACTTAATCAAAACGAAATTTTTGGCCTTGAATTTTGGGATGTTACAAGTTGGTATCAGAGCCTTGGTTTGAGGGATTCGGGCACACTATCGGGTGTGTCTGGACTCAAACTGAGGGCTTGGTATGAAAATTGTTAAAAGAAAATCATTTTATAAAAAGAACTTTGAAAAGAACAAGGTGTGTGATGCGTGCAATCAGCCGAGCTCAAGTAAGTTTTCCCCAAAATACGCATACATGTTATGTTATGATATGATATGATTATGAGAACTGCATGCTAGATTAGGGCTAAGGATCTAGGGAGGATGCCTTACATGCCTGCTGTATGTGCTTGTTGAGCTGCATGATAGTACTGATCAATTAGTGATAGGATAGCCTGTTTAGGTTATGCCTGATTGCGTGAGCCTTAGAATTGCATGCTAGTATAGATCCCTGACAAGAGGATATATTGATTTTATTGGAATATGTTGGTTAGATTTTTCCATTGTCCGAATGCTGCTTGCTTTGTGCTTTGTGGAACTCTTAAGTGATGGGAGTCAGCTACTAAGTGGATGTGACGACATCCAGGAGGTAGATGACTGGCATCGTGGAGAGTTCTTCAGCAGCTGATGGCAGGACGAGATCGAGAACCTAGGGAAGCCTAGGATATGATTCAGTGGGTTAGTAGTGAGGCTCAGTGAGACTTGGGTGTACCAGTTAAGGAAGTGACTTGGAGGATCCAGAAGGATTGCTGAGGAAAGTATGGATAGGTGTGGAAGGTAGTATTGGGCCCGTACTACTGAAAGCACAGGATCCATACTCGAATCAGTGAGAGTCTTGGAGAATCTAAGAAGCTTCAGGGAAGAGTTTGTGACCCAGTGTGGGGACAGAGGATGTTCCAGTTGTTGCAGCTTAGCCATTGGCAAGCGAGCTAGTGAGCGTGACAGGGTGTCAGACCCTGAAGGATATGATTTCCAAGAGTTGCAGATGCGAGATCAATTTGGAGCACCCTGGAAGGAGAGGTTCGTGCCAGGTGCGTATAGTAGAGGGTCCCGGGAAGAGACCCGTGACTTCTGATCATCGGGTGAAAGGCCACAGGGCCTGAGTCAGTGCACCACGTACATGATAGTGCACAAGGGAGTTTGTCGCTCCAAGGGTTTAGGCTGCTACAGGTGTGGCAGGGTTGATCATGTCAGCTGAGGGTGATCAGTATTCCTCCAGATGTTGCGGGTATGTCGTCTTCTACTGCTGCTAGATGGATGCTGGGAATACGTATCGCTTTGGAATTGTGAGTGAGTTTGGATAAGTCAGATCTCGGGACGGTTTTCTGCTAGTGTTTGGGTTATCAAGGATCATATATGTCATCCTGCATGCCGAAAGGTCCTTGATGAACCCACAGAGGGACGCATCTTGCGGAGTGGGTTCCGTGCGTACCGTTATCATTCCGGATCTTTGTCGGGATCTATGCAGGAGTATTATTTAGAGGATACTCGGTCAGGGTTGGAGTGATAGTTCTCCAGTGAAATCAACGTTCAGGGGTTCTATCCTGGTTCAGGTATGGTCGGTAATTGTCTATGGATGAACTTTGGAGTTCAACGCACTACTGTTGCTAGGACATGACTGGTAACATGAAGAGAGTAGTGTCAGTTGCGGGTGCTAGGCGCATAAGTGGTTGGTCATCGGATGTTCAAGAGAATTGTATTTTTGCATGGGCTGTGTTCGGTTAGAGTTCAGTGGTACTGCAAGATTGGAAGTGGGAACGAGGATTCGTCAGCCAGAGTAAAGATTGAGACCTTCAATTGACAGCATGGGAGATGGATTGAGGTGTCAGATTGGAACAGATTTCAAGAGTACTCTTCAAGATTTCATAGGATGGGCGATCTTAAGGTTTAATTAGTGATTAAACGCAAGCATTGGTAAGCACAGGTCGTCATCAGTGGGATATTAGAAAGCGAGACGGATTGGGAATCCTTCAATTCTCGCATGCCGTGAAGACTTAGTCGAATCTAACTGGGGGAGAGACTTTTTATAAAGTTCTCCAACTGTGAGTTCTGGTTGCACAAGGTGCAATCTCTTGGGCACCTTGTCAACTGTAACATCCCAAGTTCAGATGCAAGAGTCCGGGGGTGTAAAGTGTAACTTGGAAAGGGTGGACTCGGTGAGTTGGAGCTGTAACTCGTCGAGTCGGAGCGTGTGTAGATCACATGATTAAGTGGCCTGACTCGCCGAGTCGGTGGCTGGACTCGACGAGTCAGTGCTGGAATGAGAAACCCTAAATTTTAGGGTTTGCACCCTATTTAAAGGACTTAATGTCCTCCCCTCAGCCCCCTTAGCACCCTTTGAGATCCAGAAACCCTAATTTCGTGTGAGACTCCATTGTTGAGGAGATTAGAGCTTGGAAGAGGAATTTGGTGTAAGGAGCTTGAGGAATTAGAGGCTAGCATCAAGGGGCTTGTGTAGATCTGGGATCTACATCAGTTTGGGCACATCTCAGAGGTAAGAAGCCATTATCTTAAGCTATTTCCTTTTTGGTTCATCCTTGGTGGTTGATTTGGAGTTCCTTAGCTTGTTTGAGATCCATTTCGGGTTTAGAGGGTAGATCTGAGGTTGTAACTTCAGATCTAGGTTAGTTTTGAGCCATGAAAGCATAAAGCATCGTGCTTGGGGCTTGATGGAGAGTATCCTTGTCCTAAAACCTTCTTCTAGCTTGTTTGGAGCCCATTGTGCCTTGCATGCACATAAAGTTGGAAACTTTACGTGTGAATCTAGCCCTAGAAGTCCAGATCTATGAGTTGGAAGCAGTGAGATGGCCTGGAACTGTCTGTATAGAGATGCCTTGAATGGAATCGGCGAGTCTGTTCTTGGACTCGACGAGTTGGGTCGCAAACCCTAACTCATCAGGTTATGATGCGGATCAGTGAGTCGAGTGGACTCAGTGAGTTGGACAGGCCAGGACTCGGATGGAAGGACTCGACGAGTCATGGGGTGACTCGGCGAGTCGAGTCGGGAATGGTGGGATTCTGAGTGCAGGAACACGGCGAGTCACTAGGTTGACTCGGCGAGTAGGGTCAACCAGGAAGGTTGACTTTGACTGAGGACTTTGACTTTGACCAAGAGTTGACCAGTTTGACTTCCAAGGGTATTTTGGTAATATCGGTGCTTATGAATTTGGTTCTTGGTAGTGTACTGTGGTGGAGTTCGTGTCGGTGGTCGGAGGAGCTTGATCTTATCTCTTCAGTCGGCAATTGCAGGTGAGTTATCCTCACTATATCAACAGGGTCTAAGGCACCAAGGCTGGCCCTTTATCGGATGGGAATCCGGGTATTTGTTTGATATGTTTTTGAGTTGCTAGATCAACATCCTGGTTTTAGGATGGTGTTATGTTAGTGACCTGGTTAAGGTCGGTATCCTGGTATGTAGGGTAATGTTATGTTAGTGACCGGTTAGGTCGGTATCCTGGTTAGGATGTTGTTATGCTGCATGATCTGAT